GGAGAGAGAAAATTTTAGTGAGTGGGGACAAGACTCAAGAGTGAGTTGGAGAAGAGAAAAAAGGGTAATTGATTGCTATAATTGTATAGACTAGTTGGTTCAACTTTGTGACTTGATGCTATTTCGAACAGTCTAGAAACTTTGTATTTTATTCTCTTTTGGAAAAAAAAATATGTCACGTTTTGATGTTTGATGATTTGAGATGGGAGATTTACTACTTGAGTCAACGTTATTGCTTAATGGACCAATGGGAAATTATAAGCTAATTTAGAAAGCTTCGAGAGTAATTAAATTTATAGAATTAAAGTATTGTTTAGTGTTTAGTGATTTATTAAAAACAAACCACTAAATGTTAGAACTTAGAAGTCGATTGACATAAATAAATTGATTAACATAAAGAACTATAAGTTTTATGTGAGTTGACTAAATATTTCTCAAATGCTTTACTTGACATCCTCCATATAAAATTGATTTTCAAGTCATTTATTAATGTGAGGTGAAATTAATTCAAGTTCAATAAAATTAAAGTGAAGAGATTTATAGAACACGACTTTGACCTTTATCTCAATGAGTGTATTGAGATCAAAGATCCTAGCACTTTGAATATTTATACATTTTAAAATTTTAAGTGTAGATGATAGTTAGTTTAGTTGGTTAAAGAAATGATACTCAATATTCGAGATTGAATCTCATCTACATTATTTTTTTCTCGTGGTTCTCTCTACACCAAAAAAGTGGGGAAACAAAATATTAAGTAATGGTTGTTGAAATTAAACTTCTGCCAATTACAAAAAAAAGTGTTTGTTTTAAAATTACATATATTAATAATTTAACTAGTGATTAACCCGGGCATTGCCCCGGGGTACTACTTTTATTGTTGTGCAACTGCTAATTTTAAGAGCATCTAATACTTTGTATTATAATATTATTTATTGTGCAAGGTTAAAGCATAATTGACAATTAGCCTAGATGGTTAAACAATAACTTTTTTTTTAAGAGGTCAAGTGTTCGAACCTTCTCATACACAATTTTTTCCAATATAGTTGAGACAACTTGGAGTATTGTTTGTTGTGTGGATGACGTGGCACATTGAAATGTTGATTGGATGACGTGGCATAATAAGAAATTGAGTGAGTGACGTGGCGAAATGAGGGGATATACGTAGCGTATAGACGTTTTTAGAAACGTCTTTTAATATATTAGTATAGATAATTTCTACTTGATATCCTATTAAAATTAGCTTTACCAATGATATACTCTTCTTATTTTTATTTACCAACTGTAGTGATTGTACTATTCTACTTTGTGCTTAAGAAGTTAAGAGGTACAATTAGAGGTGTCCACCGTGCGAGTCGTGCGAGCTGGGTTAGGGTTAGGTGGGTCGCGGGTTGGGGTTTCATGACACACGGCACGACACACGTAGGGTAGGGTGGGCCGGGTCGTGGGTTGGGTCGGAGAAGTTGGACACACCAGGGTTAGGTTCGTGGGTTAGACGAGTCGTGGGTGGGTCGAGCTGGGTTTGTGGGTTAGACGGATCGTGGGTGGGTCGAGCTGGGTTTGTGGGTTAGACGGGTCATGGGTGGGTCGAGCTAGGTTCATGGGTTAGACGGGTCAAGGTGGGTTAGTGAGTTAGGGTGGGTCGAAGGGTGGGTTAGTGGGTTAGGGTCGGGTGGGTTTGTGGGTTAGGTGGGTTAGGGTCGGGTGGGTTAGTGGGTTAGGGTCGGGTGGGTTTGTGGGTTAGGTGGGTTAGGGTCGGGTGGGTTTGTGGGTTAGGGTCGGGTGGGTTCGTGGGTTAGGGTCGGGTGGGTTGTGTGGTGTTTTAATTTTTACAAAATTAACAATTTGATGGCTTGCTCTTAATTAAGATGCCTACGTATCCTTATATTATAAAATAAGGAATCAAAGCCAGCGTAGTTCTTATATTGTACTTCTTTTGAAATTTGGGGGGGGGGCTTGGACCTATCTTTAGAAAACTAAAATTTAATTTTGCAATTAAATTGTAATTTTCGAAAAATAAGTTGCCTACGTATCCCGAAAGAATCAAAGCCCACGTAGTTCTTAGCGTACCTGATTTAGACTTTTCTAGCCACCCATGTTTGTTGCATCATCATCCCCGGAAGCTGCATCATCCGTTGACGACTCCAATATCATCACAGGATCATCTTCATCGTCTTCGTCTTCCTTTAAACCTTGAGTTCTTCTTTCAGCTTGATCCCAATCTTTCTTACAAACACAAATTTGAATGCTTTCCGGAGTTAAGCGAGATCTTTTTTCATCTAACACTCTTCTACCTGCACTAAAAGCAGACTCGGAAGCAACAGATGAAGCGGGAACTGCAAGTATATCTTTTGCAATTCTCGCCAATATAGGAAAACTTTTTTTATGTTCTTGCCACCATTTTATAATTTGAAAGTTGTTGTTGGTCTCATGTTGATATGACAAATAATCATTAATAGCAAGTGTTGAAGAAGATGATGATGAGAATGATGTAGATGCTTTGTGTTTTTTTTTCATAACTTTATCAAGAAAACCAAATCTAGAATCGGAAGTGCTAGTAGTAGTTGGTGTTGCCAAATCAAAACCATAAATAGATGCATAATGATCATAAAGGTCTCCCAAAACAGATTTGCATTTGTTAATATATTCACTAACATCATAATCGATACTTAAACTTGTATAATAAAATTCTAAAAGATTTTCCAAACCTTCAGCTTTGACACCGGGGTCAAGAATAGCAGCAATTCCATAAATGATTGGAAATTCACTAAAATAAGTATGCCACTTACGTTTCATGCTATCAAGAACGGGACGAAGTCCATCAATCTTCATATGCTCTTCGATGGTGTGAACAACTTTAACACACTCAATTATGACTAAATGAACGTTAGGCTCATAAATATAAGAGAAAATATGAGTTGCACTATCAAAAGCATTTAAAACATCACGAACAAAAGAAGCATTAGTCCAATGACTTTCGGTTATTAACTCAGTAGGATCAACACGAGTCTCATTGTAAAGTTGGGTCAAAATATCACGATACTTTATAGCATCACTCAACAACTTGAAAGTAGAATTCCAACGGGTAGGGGTATCAATAGACCATTGTCTTTTCTTAAGACCTCTCTCTTTACACATAGCTATGTACTTTCTTCTAACTGACTGAGTAATCCTAATCCATTTTATAACTGTTCTAATTGGGTTTAGCAATGGTTGCAACTCCTTTGGCTACCACTTCGACCACCACTTCGACCACCACTCCTTTGGCTACCACTTCGACCACCACTTTGACTCCTTCCCATTCCTCCTCTTGAGCTCATTTTTTTTTGTATGATTACTAATTATAATATGGAGAAGAACTTTTTTTTTTTAGAATCTTAAGAATACTAATAATAATATTAAGGAGATTTTTTTTAACAAAAATATAACTCTATATAACACTTGAGAATTTGAGAACAATAAGAATTTTTAAGTAAGAGAGAAAGAAAGCTTGAATTTGTGTGGAAATTTGAGTGAAATGGAATTGGTATTTATAGGAAAAATAGAATGGATGATCATACACTTAAAAAACTAGCCGTTAGATACAAAAAACTAGCCGTTAGATACAAAAAACTAGCCGTTTTTTTTTTAAAATGGATGTTAGGCCGTGCGGGCCGTGCGGGTCGTGCGAATTGTGCGGGCTGTGCGGGCCGTGCGGGTTGTGCCGGCCGTGCGGGTTGGGTGGGTCATGCGTGCGGGTTGGGTGGGTCATGCGTGCGGGTTAGGTGGGTTGGCTCGTGCGGGTTGGGTGGGTCATTCGTGCGGGTGGGCCGTGCGGGCTGGGTTGTGCCAGGTGGGTCGGGTTAGGTGGGTTCACGGGCTAGGTGTGTCGAATTAAATGAGTCAAAACGGGTTGTGCGATTTGGGTCGAATCAAACGGGTTAAACTGAGCTGGGTTGAAATGGGTTGTGTCGAAAATTTTGGACCCACGACACAACCCGGACTAAATCCGAGCTGTGCCGGGCTGTGCCGGATTGAAACCGGGTCGGACCCACGTGACCCACCAGCCGTGCGAGTTAGGGTGGGCTGGGTCCAACCCGGCCCACTGGCCACCTCTAGGTACAATGATCTAAAAGTCAACCAAGGGTTCCTAAAGTCCATTTTTCTATTTCAAGTCAAAGATATCACTATGAATAAGAATCATTTGAGGAAATGAATAAGAATTAGAAATCTTAAATAGATGAATTTGTTGAAAACAAAACATAATAATAATTAGTTTGAAAAAGTTACATCAACGTCAACTTCAATAATATTATACTGCATATATTTAACTTAGAATATGTTAAATAAAAATAGACATAAATATTTTGATAAGTTAAAATTCGATTTTTTTTTCTTTAATAAGTAATCCTGATTTAATTGGTACAAGTACAACCATACCGAGTAAGACTTGGTGACTTTTCCCAAATTCCAGATTTAGAGCTTTTGCTATGAATGCCAAATGGGGGGATTAATAAAGTACAACAAAATCTCTTGAAGAGTTGAAGATAAACAAGATTCAAACATTTATGGTCTTAAAGAGATGAAATTAGGATACATTGAAATGTGAACGAAACAACAAGAATTCTTTCAAATTAGTACACCATTTAATCCATTCAATGAAAACCCAAGCTGGTCCAAGGAAAAATCTCCCTTAAAAGAAGGTGCAAACAGGATACAGAGTTGCATTTTACAGCATATCTCATGGACCACTGTAAAGAGTTGATCACATTCTTAGCCTTGGACCACACTTGAACTTCGAAAATATTTCAAGTTAAATTTTTGGCCGGTGGTCAGATTTCCCCAACATTACATATTGGAATATAGTTGACTATATTTATATTACAGTTTGTTACAAAGGAACATGAATGTCGACTAGTTTAGTTGATAGAACCTTAAAAGTAAAACACAAATTCTAGGATGGAGTCCCGCTTACATCAATGTCTTTTATGAGCACAATGACATAGCAGAATCAAACACGAGACTGCATGTAATTTGGAGAATATTCATTGATAAAATTAATATATATCCAATCAATTCAATATATGCACTCTTTCTGCAATCTAAAATGAAATTCTAACAATCTACCAAATTACTAGCAGAACCAATACAGGAGAGGCTTGAATTTGGAGAAACAAGCTTTCTAATTTTCTCCTTGAAACTATTTTCAGTGTACAAATGGGCATACAAATTCCACAAAATAAAGCCCATAGAAGCCGTAAACCTGACCTAAACTACCCGTTTCAACACCATAGACGACCACAAACTTCATGTATACCTTGATTTTCGAAGGGGTGATTACTATACAGAAAAAAGAAGGGAAAATTTCTGCACATAAAAGATGGCTAGGGGAGCAATTATATCAGTATTTCTGCATCTTAGCTGAACTTGGGAACTTTGTTCCAACCAAATCTGAAAAAATAAAAATGGTTATCTTCTTCCTTTAGTTTCTGTGGTTCGAACAGGTGGGAGTGTTTGTGAACCACCACCAAGCGCAGCAGCAGCTGACTCGACATGTGTTAGAAGATACTCATATATCTTCTTTCTCAACCTATCAATTGTTTCACCTGATACACGAGCCACGTCTTCTTCCTCTTCTTCCTGCTCCTCGTCCTTGGCTGAGCCTCCACCTATCTCATCCAACCAATCATTGACACTCTTCAGCTGAGTAAGCATGCCAGCTATTTGACCATTGTCTGACAATGCAGAAGAGTCCACATCAGCATCCAAAAAACGCTCCACAAACCCCAAGAACCAATTCTGTGACTCAGACTGAAGTTTCTCAGCCAAGTCCACGTACTCATCAAGCCCATTTCCTCGGTCCCACTCTGGAGGAGGTGGCGGGGCACGAGCCTTTTGGCTAATTAACAGCTGGTCACTAGCTCGACGTGGAGTCCCAGGAGAAGATGTCTTAGAGCTAACTGATAAGCGAGGTTTAGATATGGGCTTCGGTGATGCATTCTTGCTTGCATTTTCAAGAACTATAAAGGCTTGATTTCCTGAATTTTGTTTGGGATTCTGAGACTGGGAGGAAATTGGAAGCGATGTTAATGTTGGTCGATCACTATATACAGAGAATGGTGATAGATCTGTGGCTAAGGCAGCATTAACCCAAGAGGCCGCCTGTTTTCTCCTCTCTGACATTATTTTTTGTGTTTCTTCAGACAAGGCTTCTTGACTATCTGGTGATGAGTCCATTGGTGTATGTTTAGACAGGGAATTGACTGTGAGAAGGGCACTCTTTAAGCTTGAGTGTAGAGTCAAGAATTGCTCCACTGCTGGTTGTGGGTCATCTTCCTTGGCAGATGAGCTTAAATCGGAGTATTTACTACAATCGGGAAGAAACAAGGATTTAGTAAAGCAAGCAAAATTACCAGAGTACAAATATAGACCACAAAGTGATAGTGTAATACAATATCTAAGTTTGAACATCATGTTATATACTTGGTGAAAAATTCAAGACAACCACAATCAAAGGGAAAACTACTGTCTTCTTTTAGCGGCTTGGGATGTGTGAACTCAACCCCAGAACTAGAACGTTAATCATCTATATTGAGACCCCCATCAGCCTGAGCTAATGTGTACTCAATCTACAGCTAACTCTCACATGACTGACACCCTGTCTCAAAGGCAGTGCTAGTGACAATTTTAACTAAATTTCTTATGTGCTACTTCATATACATATACAAATCGCACATAATAATCAATATTATTTATTGCATTGCACGTTTTGACACTTGGGACACATTGCATTCAAAAGGGTCTCGAGTCTCGACAACTATACTCAAGTCCGAGTAATGTAGCTTTACTTATTGATTATCAGGGTCAATTGGCCTCCTAATATGTCTACATTATTCATTTTTATAAATTTTCTGGTTGGTAAGAAGACTAAAAACTGCCCTACCAGGCCATAACCTTGTACACGTCAACCCAGCTTTGGTTAACGGGCTAGGTTTTTAGGAGTTGGGGTAAGGGTAAAGGATCCCAACCTCAAGATGGGAAGGTGCAATACTTACCATTAGGTCAAGCTTAACTTGGTATTAATTAGTCTATGTCAACAAACACAGCTTATCACCAAAAGAAAAACACTACAATCAACGGAAATCCCTCGCATGTACGGAGATATCAGAAATACAGAATATTAAGATACCACCATATTAATTTATAGGTAAAATTACCTTAAGCAACGAAGTATACTCTCTGCGGCTGAAGCTTCTTGCATTGCCTCTATTGCAGCCATTTGTGCTGAATCTCTAAGCTTCAGAACTTCCTGAAGGAAAAGTATCAAAAGGAACTTTAAAACACTATAGTAGTTCTGATCTGAATTGAAGATTTGTATACAGATATAATAACACAACTTTAAGTAATAAGCTGCACCAATAACATCAGAAGTAAGCCAGAAAATAAAAACAAAGAGACCAAGCAAAGTCTCAAAAGACAAAAGGACGGCAAATTGAGTGGTCATTTGGTTGCATGCAGAGCGTTTCATATAAAACTATTTGGTTGACAGCGAGAAAAGCTTTTAATGGAAAATTAGTCCTGCTTGGGGGAGTAGGTAAGCAACTTTACCCATGTTGTGATTAGTAGATTTTTCAAGTTGTAATGTTGTATAACCTGTGTTCTTATCATTTAAGTTACCAAACTCCAAAATATCTTTCTCCCAACTTCCTAATTTATTAATAAGAGCCAAACAATCACTAAAACCATATCATTTTCTGTAACGTAATGAAAAATATTACTATGAGATGAATCTGATAATTTGCAATCCCAGACAACTGCAAAGGAAATACCTTTCCGAGCTTCGTGACAGAGGAAGGAAGAGATGACCACAGTACACTAGCATCTATCAATTTCCTACTACCGGCAGAGACCTTCACCAAATTGTTTGGAAACCCATTGCTAGCATTATTATCCACTGATTTCCTTCCAATAGAATTTCTCGGTTTGCTTGATCTATCAAGATCTTCTATTGCTCCATTAGAGGTCAAAGTTCTCGCAGATGTTTGATCTTTAGCTTCCACCTTTGATAGTTTCGAGGACTTTTGGACTTTAATCTCTGCTTTGGTTGATGACCGCTCATCTGATGGATTTTTCTTAGGCACCTGAACAAAAATGAGCAAATTATTTTCCACTAAAATTAATCAGACTATCAATGCCATATATGCAGTCTGCAAACAAGAAATCGGAGGTACATTTGAACAAATGGTAGAGCTATGAACAGAGAATCACAAGTTATGTATCAAAGCTGTATAAATGCAGTTTTTACAGCCAATCAGCTTAGATTAGTTGATATTACCACTTGTTAAGAGTGTATAAGACACCACTCATACAAGGCCCAAAAGGCAGGGAAAGATTGGACAAGAATAGTCCAGTGTCTCGACATTTTCGAACAACTTCAATGCTGATAAAATTAATTATTGCAGAAACCAAAGTTGATAAACATAAGCACTTACAGAAGTACAACGAGCTGCAGGGCTCGCATCAGGCTTCCCAGTTTTTATTTTCAAGTTATCTCTACTCTTTGTCTCCATGCTCCCTTCCCAACTCCTCCTCAATGCTTTCGGTCCCATATCAATTACATGAGCCAGTTTCTTCGGTGTAGACACAGAAGGCTGCCTCTTAGTCACTGGACTCGCTGCACGTGCAGAACTGGACTTCTCAGACAGTCCTAATTTAGCAGATACCTTCTCCATTAAACCCAACTTAGGAGTCCCTCTATCACTCTTGATCTTTGCCTGGTGCTTGACCCCACTCGAAAACTTCTCAAATGAAGTAGGAAGCGAATAACAACTAGTAGGTGATGACGGTATAGACTGTGAACCCGAAGTCTTTAACCTTCCCAAAGCCTCTTTCCTATCCACAGAACTCACAGAGGTTTTCGATGATATAGACTTTGATCGAGCAATCGACACTTTCTTATCTACCTGCTCATCTTTTCCAAAACTATTCAATTTAGAAGGAGGAGCCTTCTCTTTACTGCCAAACAATGACTTTGCAGCTGATTTCGATTTGTCACTAGTTTTTGACCCTGGAGAAGAATTATTTAAGAACCCTAAAGAATGAGTTGCTACAATATCTTCCGGGGTACCAACACAAGGATGCCTCCCGGGAACCAGCCTCACACCTCGAAGAATAGGGACTGGGGAGGCAGCCTCAAGCCTATCAACATGAATGTATTGACCCAATTGAATCTTATCACTAAGAATTAGATCATCATGTTCATCAGGAAGTGCAACATAAGTAGCATGAGACGAATCCGAAACCTTCAAATAAAACCCTTGGTTTTGAAATAAATCACCACCTGCTAATGCAGGAACAATGCTCACAACTTGCAATAGAGAGGACCTATGTTCACCAGCAACTTTAACATCTGTGTTCATATGCTGTAAAAGCTTTAACAAAATCCCAGGTACTAAAGTAGCCATTGTTGTAACCTTCAATGTGCATCACTCCAACAAAACCCCACAAACTATCTAAAAATTCAATTGAACAAAAAATCACAATTAACACCAAAAATTAGATGATATTCATTAATAAACATAAATAAACAAAAGAAACATACATCTACAATAACAACAATGCCAAAATCTACATTAACCAAGATTATATCTCTAATGGGGTCAATTAACAATAATAATTTTCCTATTGCATTAATTTCTCTATTGATATGATCCAAAAATTACTTAACATGTGAAACTTGCAGTGGTTAAAGCAGCTTTCTGACAGCTTAGATAGAGACATAACATAACACAATTGCCAATAAAATTCAATGGGAAAAAAATCAAGAAAAGTTGAAAAAAAGCTCAATAAGCCAGATTGAAAAAGTGGATCTTGAGGTCCAAATTCACAGGAAATTGACAATTCAACAAAAACCCATTTAGAAAAACACCACAAAAATAACATAACAAAGATCAATCACAAAAACTCAACCAAAAAAATTTCATTTATCAACTATGAAAATGCAATAAACCCAGAAATTAAAAATTACTCACCAAATTACAAAGCCCAAGAACCCAGATGAAAACTGTGAAGGTTGGCAAGAAGCTTAAGAGTCACTCAAATCATGTGATTTTCTCAACACCCAGAATTTTATTATATTTTTAATTAAATACCCAACTTTTTATAGTAGCTAATAAATAAGATGGTGATTGAAACTTCTGATTCCTGGGATTTTTTTTCAACAGAGAAAAAGGAAGATTGAAGGAAGAAGAAGAAGAAAGTGGGGTTTGAATGCAAAAAATTTAGAGAGAGAAAGATAGAGATTTAGAGAGAGAAAGGGGGGTTGAGAACTACAACTCAGAAGAAGACATAAAAATTGTAAGATCACAAAAAAAAAAATTAAGTTTTTTGGCCCACAAAATTACAGAAATGAGGGTCCTTTTTTTGCACCTGCAAGCCAATGAAGCAGAAGAAGCTTACTGAGTAATGAAGCAGAGAAACTTTATGAACACTTCTGAAATATTTTGCAGCATAATTTTATTTTTACTCCAGAGGAATCTGAATTTAATTTGGTATTATTATGAATGTACATCTGTAACAGTTAACCAGAATTTTTCTTTGTATTTTTGTAGCAGTTTAAAGCAGTGGAGTATAATTAAGCGTAAGGGTTACATGGGAGGCTGGGATTGTTTTGGATATTCTCTATCTATTTATTAATTTAAGGCCTTATATATTAAATTAAATTGTTGTTATTCAGTTTAGGTACTTCCAATCATATCACTTGGATGGTGTTAACTCCTCTTTTGCATCTTAACGTGGACAAGGACTATACAAGTATGAGGGTTTTTGGTTCGCAAAAGTTGGGTATAAGGTATGAATTTAAAATTGGTAAAGGATCAGAAAGTATAGACTAGCAAATTTATACAGAGTAACAATTACTTCATTCATTTTTTTGTCTTCTATTTGATACGTTTCTTTTATTATGTTTGTCAACACATAAATTTAACGACTCGTATATCTAATTATCAATCATTAAAAGAAGCGAGTTCAATCAAGTAGGCAAGGCTAAATACTGAATTTTTTTTTTAAAAGTCTATACTTTTATTCATATATTAAAAAGTGTTTGTAATACAGAATATATGTCACGTGGCACCCTTCACGTACATATTGAGACAATTATAACAAAATTTTACATATTTAGGTTTTATCATAAATATACATCGCAATATTTAGTCAAAGTAAAATTTGTTATGGCTCGAACTTGTGACTTTAAATTGAGTTTCCCATTATCTCTACCAAGCAAATTTGATAACAAAAATGGTAGACTTTGTACATGGCCATTAGCCCATTACTCATTTCAGGTTTAATAAGTTCAGATAAATTCAGTTAAGTTCGGAAAAGTTAAGTTTAGGAAAAATAAGTTTTGATAAGGGTTACCCAAATACAAATTAAACCTAAAATAAGTTTTAATAAGTTCAAATAAGATCGCTTAATTTCAGATAAATGAAAATCAAGTGAATAGAACACACATTAAGTGATAAAAATTTATATGTAAATACCTCATTAATCAAATATGGAGTAACAATTAGTTTTTGATCTTGCTTGTGCACATGATGTTAGTTAATAATCATGTTAATAGGAAAGAAATAAACAAAATAAATAAAAGATGGAAAATATTGGAATTAATTGGAAGGTCAAATTGTGTGTTTTGGAAATAACGTCAAATTGTCAAATTTGTGACTTCTTGATTTATTTTTATTTTTTTTTTTAAATTGTAGATTGTAGTATACTTTTTTTTAAAAAAAAACTGATTGTAATATACTTAATGATATTGTGAGAGCACTATCTCAATCAAAAGATTAAGCTAATAGTTAAACGTTAAGATCCCGTTGGATTTGAAATGTGGATATGACTTGGGTCTGGTAAACTCTTATATGAACCTGGTTTACAATAATATATTGTGGAACACTAACATTAGAGACACTATGGTTGTTTTATTAAAAATAAAAATGGGTCACTATTTTTAAAATAAAGGTTATTATGTTGAAATAAAAGTCATTTTGGTATTATAAAGGCTATAAGGGGTTCTTTTATGAAATTTTTTTATATACTGGTCAATATGAGTAATAAAGGTCACTATTTTAAACTTAAGGTCATTATGTTCAATATAACGTCGTACTTTAAATTCACAATAATATTAAAGGTCACACAAGTTTTAATAAAGGTTACTATGTTAAAAATAAGGTTACTTCGTAAAAATGAGGGTCACTATGTTCAATATAATGTCAGTTGTGTGCGTATAAGCCTCAGGTCCACGCAAGATTTTTTGCTTGGGTCTTTCCATACCCATTGTGAAATAAATCACACTAGAAAAGGAGGGGTGGATGAAATTTGAACCCGTGATTTTTGTATCACATTAGCTCTGATACCGTGTTAGAGAATTATTTTTACCAAAACTTAACCTGATGTTTGAAGCTTAGGATTGGTGTATATACTCTATCAAATATAAAACCCGAAGGGTTGGATTTCCAAATTGATGATTTATTTTTCTTAAGCAATTATCAAGCAAAGTTTTGTTATCTTTCAATTTATTCTGACTTGGAATTTTCGAAGGGGCATCAAGATGACTTGATGTACTGGTTCTCTCATAAATCGGGCAATTACACTACTAAGACGGGGTATGCTTTCTTCCAAACTCTGAAAGATCGAGAAGCTTGTAATCTCACTAATCCAGTTTTTTGTAAAATTATGTGGCGTCTTAATATTTCTCCAAAGTGGAGCCTTTTTATCTGGAAATTAGTCATGAATGGACTAGTGGTAAAGGCTAACTTACATCATAGAGGAATTCCAGTGGTCTTAGCTTGTGATTTGTAATTGTGTGGTGGAGACCGAGAAGATACGACACATCTTTTTAAGGAATGTATGGTAGCTAGAAGAATGTGGGACAACTGCTCACTTGTTGTCAACTCAGAAATGACTGAATCTACTCCAATGGGACAATGGATTCAAAGTAATATCCTGCTTTTTTATAGCGAGGATGATATTCATAGCAATAGAATTAATATGTTTATAGTAAATCTTTGGTGCTTATGGATCAACATGAATGGAAAGGTGTTTAAAGGGGAGGAAGGTGACTTGGCTAACTTTAATCGACATCTAGAGAAAGCAAAGAAAGAACTGGACACCTATAGAGTTACACCAAACACTCGCAATGGAAACTCTATAAGAGAGGGGGGGATCTACTTTAAGACCTCACGGTTTTCATTATGCTTCTTTGGGGATGGAAGACTACCAACTTCATCACAATCTGGTTAGCTCCCATGGGGTGAAGATCGCTTTTGTTGGCTCGTGGCAGAAGCAAACAGGTAATGCAAGGCTAGGTTGGACCTTAGCAACAGAGCAAGAACAAGCCGATATAGGGGGAAGGCACTACAAGCCTCCACGCGGAAGCTATGGCATGTTTGCTGGCTGTCAAGTGGGCTAAAGAAAAGGGTTTCCTGAAGGTCTTTCTACTTACAGACTGTGCTAATCTGGTCAGCATTCTGGAAAAACGACAAGAACTAGAGATAGGGATTCTTTTCACGATTAAGGATATTCAGAAGACAGCAAGCATGATCCAAACTTGTGTTGTTTGGAAGGTTAGCAGGGAACAAGTTCACCAGGCACATCAAGTTGCAAATGAGTGCAGGAATAGTTTTACCAGCTTTGTTACTTAGTTTATTTTGCTTCAATGTTGTCAAAAAATAAAAAAATAATCTTACTTTGTACTCCCTCTGTTTATTTTTAATTGCAACTTTGGTTGGAATTGCGGTTCACGAGGCAAAAGTTAAGGGGTGTGTAGTAGTGGGGTTAATTAAAGGTGATTAAAGTGTGTGGAGAGAGAAAGTTTGGCCCACCACTTGGGAAAGTAGTGGGAAAGTAAGGGTAAAATAGTAATTTTCAGGGATTTTGTTTACCCAAAATAGAAATAAAATAGAAAGTTGCAATTAATTTTGAGCGGACTAAAATGGCAAAAGTTGCAATTAAAAAAAAAAAAAACAGAGGGAGTATTATTTATCACTTTTAGTAAATTAGTAATTTTGATGTCAACAAAAAAAAAAAAAAATAATTAAAACAAACCAAGATTAGAATTAGATTATATCATAATAGATTAGATCAAATCAAACCATATGAAACCTAAAAAAATTTAGACCAAACCACCTTAAATATGGCTAAGAGAACGTGACCCAAATTAATTTATGTTGCAATTTGGTGACCATAACATCTTAAATAAGGTTAAAATAACATTGACATAAGAGTAAATGAAAAACAATTTTTTTTTTATATATAATTTAGTCGCAGCTATGTAAATAAAAATAAAAATATTTACATCTGTTCTTGAAAAGAAAAAAAAAACCCTTTGTTTTTTCTTTTTGGAAGTTACAAATATTCTGTCCATGTTTGAAACAAATTACACAAATTCCAATACCAAAGTCTAATTTCACCACAATTTTTGTGATAAAATAACAAATACCAAAGTATAATTATTAACATTGTATTTAGCTCTCAAAAATCAATATTTATTGGAGAGTGCAACTGGGATGCATGTGGATGGCAGAGAAGCTTGTCGGTTGCTTGAGATGGTGTATAGTGTTTTCTATGTTTGTGGGGATGCAATAGTTGTTTTATGGGCAAACACCAAAATTCTAACTTTTCTTCTCTGTATTTCTACACTTATAATAGTGTTAATGTGTGATCTATGTATGTATGATTGTGCACATGCTCTTACAAATACAATTTACATGTAGAAATATTGTTTATCCTTATATATACTCATTCTATTTCATTCAATCATGTTCAAGTCTTTCAAATACAATTAAATCTAAGCTACAAAATTTTATGATACTATATGTGAATTATGTGATGGACTCATGGTTTTAGTTCTTTAACAGTTCTTTGTAGATTGACTAGTCACTTAGATAAGCGGAAAAGTCTATAGCCATTGGATCGACTTAGGTCTTACACTCTTACTTGATGATAAGGTAGTGTTATATTCAAAACCTTGCCTTGTATTTAGACTAAACTTTAACCGCCCCTTCTTCACTCTCCATTTTCTACTTAGAATTCTTTAAAATTAGTGCTTCATAAGCTGAAAAATAGTCAAATTTCTTCAGAAATAATTTGCCAACCCTTTCTCTTTAATTTCTTTATGATTTTGTTATTAGTTTTGATAAAACTACCTTCTGAGTTAGTTTACTACAAGTTACTTCATGAGTAAAGATTAATATGGGATCGAAAAAGTGATTAATCCTTTGATTGCCATTAGATGAATCAAACGAGAATTTTCTTCACTGTTATAATTGCATTGATTAGTAGGCTCCCTTATCGAGGAAGGCTTTAAATCACAACAATATAATAAAAGAGAGTATGAAAAAGTACAATTTGCAATACCAATCTCAGCTTTGTTGAAAGAATGCTTTTATTTGATTCATCTGTCATGAATTTGTTAGATTTAAATCTCTTTAGAAATGTCGTATGGCGTTATATATATATATATATATATATATATATATATATATATATATATATATATATATATATCTTATTAGTCTAAAGTTTATCTTATCTGAAGATATTCATATCTGAAGTTATATGAACTTATTTATAGCTAGCACTGGAATTTAAGACAACCCAAAATTGATTTATAATGCCCCTTCACACGAAAGCCCAAATGGGGATGCGGCTTGGGCCTCCTTATACCCAACGTTAATTAAATTTCACTTTGGAAGGAGGGGTGGATGAGATATGAACCCGTGACCTTTGTGTTACGTTGG